TTTTTTTAGAACAAAAACGGGTTTTTCATCGAAATAGTTTGATTTCGATTTCGATTTTGATGAATTACGATTTTGATTAAAATATTGGTAAAAATTATCAGATGAGGTATTATTAATTATAGGAGAAGTAGTGGTAACAGCAGGAGTAATAAATGGTGAAGCATGTTGTAATATAATAGCAGTGGCAGCTGCTGTTGACGTTTGTGAAGATCTTGGTGTTGAAGGTGCTGAAGGATTTGTCATTGGTGGTGTTAAGATCAAATTATTACTATTATCATTAATATCACTGTTATTGATATCTTCTTTATCACTATTACTATTACTGTTACTGTTAATACTATTATTATTACCATCCTCACTTTCATCCATGTTATCATCTTCATCTTCATCTTCATCTTCATCGCCTTCATCATCTGATACTCCATTAACTGATACGGCTGCTTTAGCTGCTATAGAATCTCTTTCACTTTTAGCTTGTTTATTTCTAATCTGAACCCATCTTGTCCTACATTGGCGCTATATTATATATATGGGGAAGGAGAATGGTATATATTAATATTTAGATAATATAATTAAAAAAGAATCATGCACGCGTACAACGCATACAGTCAAACCTTGTCACAGCGGATGAACGAGACACAAGAAATTTTTATGTGTTTTTATATGTGAAGCAAAATTTTAAAAATCAGTTATGACAAAAATTTAATTATAGTCCGCTGTGGCGAGGTCCGCTATGACTGTATGTATTAAATATATACCTGAGTTCTGCCATCGATCAATTCAGCAATACGAATCCAGCATCTACCATAACGTCTGACACCATCTTTTAAAATTTCATCTTCATCCGGTGACCATTTACCTTTTCTAACTGATGGATCCAATGCTTCCGACCAACGAGCCTGACACTGAATACCAGTTCGATGTGGAATACGTTGTGCTATTTTGTTCCAGGGTATAGGTTGTGGGTGGCCATCTGAATCCAATAAATTCAAATACTCGCCAACTGCCTCTTTCAGCAATGAATCTTCTTCTGGAGTCCAACGGCCTTTATGGATTGTTGGGTTAAGAGCACCTAACCATCTTGTTGAACATTGCATCGGCGTTCTGTTTGGAACGTGAGCTGCTATCAATGACCATTTATGAGGCCCATAGATGTTGATTGCTGCTTTTAGTAGTTCGTCTTCTTCTTCTGTCCATTTTGTGTAAACTGGTGGCTTTTGGTTACCAAGATGATGATTTTGTAATGACGATGATGATGATGATGATGATGCTGGTGGATGACTGTTGTTGTTACTGTTGCTGTTGTTGTTGCTGCTGTTACCGCTGCTGTTGATAGTAGGATTAGTTGTAGTATTGAAATTGATATTTGGATGATGTTGATGAATATTATTATTGATGCTATTATTATAACTGTTATTGTTGTTAAAGGTTATTATTGATGTGCGATGAAGGTGATGTTTGGAATCCTAAACCTGAAGTAATTGAAAATGTTGGCAAAGAAGTGGATCAAGTTGTTAGGTAATTAACCACCGACCTATTAATCAATTTACTTGTTTATGGTTAATTGATTATTGGTAATTTTTATAAATATTGATTAGGGTATTGAAAAGTGGAGGAAAGGTAATTAATTATTGTTATTATTTGAAAACAACAAGAACAACAATAACAATCAATATATATTTTATATGTATACACACACGCACACAAATATATGAATAGTTTATATATATTACATTTGGACAACCACATTTTAGACGTAAATATTTGGAAAGATCAGTTTGGAATTTGGAAATTGAAACTTTGGGTATTATTATAATAATTAATTTTATTCGTTAATCATATAATTAACAATATTCATTTATATTTAGTAGGTGATTCGTTTCATTATTTTATATATATATTAACAAAAAAATGATATATATTTAACATAACATACTTGTACGTCATTAAAACAAAAAAAATTTCTGGGGGGGTTAAAAAAACCGTATTTATTTATTATTTAATTTAATTTTATTTGTTTTTTTTTTTTTTTTTTTAGAAGTATGATTTGGAAAAATTGAAAAATTGTATTATAAACTTTTTATATTTACATAAATATTAATACGCTAATTTTTAAATTCATTGTTAACAAGATTTTGTTTGACATGTAACACTGCAGTAGGCTACTTATATGATAAAATATTAATATGTATAAATATATACATTTGACGATTTTCCGATAGTACACTAACCCAGTTTGTTTATTATTGATATTCTCATTTATTTCATTGATTATAATAAATTTGACATTTTTCCGCTATTGATTTAATGGTTCCGACTTCAGATATCAACAAACAAAAAAAATATTTAATATATTTTAATTGTATAAATTTAGAAATAACTTATTATCCGTATACAAAACAAATATTTGTTATTATCCAATCAATGATTATGGCATCATAATACTGGCTGCCGTGAAGTTTCAAGGGGAAGAAAATCCGAAACTTTCGAAAAACGCAAAACTTGGATCAAAATCGTAATTCATCAAAATCGAAATCGAAATCAAACTATTTCGATGAAAAACCCGTTTTTGTTCTAAAAAAAAAAAACAAAAAACAAACTTTAGTGATATTTAAGTAGTATAGGTTAATTTTTATATCATGTAATTTAATAAATTAAAAATTTTTTTTTAACTAGCATTAATAATAAGTTAACCGGTTTTAAATGTCTTTATTTTAAAGTATTTGATTACTTATTTTTGATCCTCAAAATCAAAATTAATCAATATTTACATGGCCACTGTGCATAACACTGTTTTTTATGGCGAAACTGAGAAGAGAAAGGATAAAAGAAAACCAGTTTATTATTTATTTATCCATTATATTTCATACAAAAGATTACCTGTGAATAAATTGATAGTAAAGTAATTATTTGATAGACGTCACGTAATTGCGCTGTGATATATATATATATGCACTTATCCAAATTTATCACATATACCCTCTTTATTTTGCCATTTTTTATTGATACCCCAATTTAAAATATTTTAAAAAAAAAATTTTTTTTTATATATTTATCAAAAAAAACTTATAAAAACCTAACCAAATCATTCTCTGTTCAAATTATTTAAAACAAATAAAAAAAATTTCCATGATTTTTTTTTCTTTTGTTTGTTTTAATGCTTGTTCCTGATTTTTTTGTTTTCTAAAATCAAATCTTGATTTTTTAATGATTTTATATATATTCTATTGTTGTTTACTATTATAATATTTTAACGATTAAAAAATTAAAAAATTAATTTTTTAAAACATCACTTTCTTCTTATATTAATAATCTCTCAAATACAACAACTATCATTTCATATTAACCAACACACACTCTCTAATTGATTAGTGTCGTTCATTAGACAATCACACGTTTATCACACACACAATACACAAACACGCACGTACGCACGCACACTTTCACATCACCGCCACCAACATCATTTTATTATCAACAATCACATCGATCATCAAAATCAATTTGTTTGATTCAACAATTCTTTATTCTCTATCCCTTTAAGTATTTTCTTTGTGTAAATTAATTTTTCTTTAAAAAAAGTTTTTTGATCAAAGTTCATTAATAATAATATAATTAATTAATAATATAAATAAAATCCTTAATCATAATATATATCATATAATAATAACTTCACAAATTTACATTTTCTCGGACCTATTATAATATACATACACCTTTATATATATATATATATATATATATATATATATATATATATTTAATTTCTAGAACTTTATATTTCTTTCATTCTTGCATAATATAAATCAATAACAAAAAACAAATAAAAAAATACTCTTATATTATATTCAAAAAATATCCATCCAATCCTTTTTTTCTAAAAAAAAATCTTCAAAAAATCATTTTAAATCATCAAAGCCTCCTCCCATTCTAATCATCATCTAACTGTGTTGATCTATATTTACTTTTATATAATTTTCTTGGTCTGTGTGTAAGTAATATACAAATGGTTTTTTTTATTTTTTATTTTGAACAGATTGGAAGTGATTGGAAGTGATTGAAAATGGTTGAAATGTAAAATATTTTACTGTTTCTTCTCATTCTCCCTCACTCTCACTCCTCCTTTCTTCCCTACCTTTTACATTAATCCATCATTATCAGTATCATCATCACTTTATTTTATTCTAAAAATAATAATATATTCTGATTCTAATAATAATAATAATAATAATAATAATAATAATAATAATAATAATAATAATATAATAAATATTTATTGTTTATATAATGAAATCACTTACCAATTTTAATTTATTTATTTATACATTATATTATATATTTTATTGTATATGGATAGATACCACTTAATACAGTTACCGCATTCCTACAAAAAACTATCATCATCATCATCAATCAGCATCAACATACTACCGGCACGTCTTTTCTATCATCATCGATATCAACACACCACACAATCCCAATTGACAATAAAAAAGATTATTTCCTAAAAATAAAAATAAATATTAAAAATAAAAAAAAAATTTATAAATAAAAAATTCCTTTTATTTCACAAATCACCTTAACCCATCAACCAGAGAACAATATAAATCCACCCAATTCTTTTTTAATTTTTTTGTTGGAATTTTTTTAAGTAATTAATTAGTAAAAATTTATTATAAATAATAAATAAAATGTCTTACAATAATAATAACCAACAAGAATTCGATCAAAATTCTGCTTTTCAAGGTAAATTAATAATATTACTGTAAATTATAATAACAGTATTACTATTAATATTATTAGTATTAATATTATATGATCTTTTTTTTTTAATTACCTCTTTAATTATTTCTCGCTCTCTAATTTCGTCGTCACCATTCTATAATTCATTCGCTCATTTACTTCCACTCGGGCAATCCATTTTGTTATTGATTCCTTGATTACTATTATATGATCAATTAATTTCCTCAATTTAATCCTTTTCACTATTTTTTCACTTAATTGTCAAACAATGGATTTTATTTATTTTAATTTCCAATACCCCCCTTTTTTTTCTTGGCTCCGTATCCCAATCAACCGACTAAATTTTTTTTTTTTTTTTTTTTTTTGCTTTCTCTATAAATAAAAAATAAAACTAACTTATAAAAAAATTCTTTTATCTAACAACAACAACAATAATAATAGAAATGAATCACGTAAATCATCAAAAACCTACTGCTTTGACACCGACAACATTTCAATATTTTTCTCAAAATAATACTCCTCTAAGCTTTACTTCTAATAATATTATCAATAATAATAACAATATGATTTCTAACAACATAAGCAACAACTTTACTGTTGTTGCTAATAATAATGACTCGAACTCTAATTCTAATTCTAATAATTACAATAACGAATCAAAATTTTTGAAAAACGCGTCGTCGAATAAAGAGGAAGATGAAGAATTAATGAATTGTGTACTAAATACAACTACAGTATCAGCACAAGAAATAGAAGTAAAAGTAGAAATAAATAATTTATTTAGAGAAGAAATAAACTCTAATGGTGATGATGGCAAAATAAATCATAACGATATTATGGTCACTGATGATGACGATCACAAAAATCACATGACCACTGATAATAAAAATCATCCTGTTAACAATAATATTTCATCTTCAAATTCTTCACCAACAGTCACAACAATAACACCATCCACACCTACTATTTCATCATCCTCAAGCTCTAAATCAAGTCTAAATAATAATAATAATAATAACGATAGTAATAATAGTAATAACAATAATAATACTTCCGCCTCTGCTTCATCGGTATCAGCATCAGCATCAACATCGCCTTCGACACTTCAATTGCTTGGTATTGATAATCCAATTATCAACATGTACTATTTGGATGTTAACGCTAATTCTACCAACACTGCTAGTGCTACTAACCACCAACAACAACTGCAACAACAACAATCCTCGCCAACTTCATTATATGACGTAAGTATAATTTATTTATTATTATTGAAGGGTTTCAATTAGTCAATTAGTCATTATTACTAAATATATTGCTTGGCTCATTTGGATAAATAATTATTTCTTTATTAAATATAACGGAAATAATATATTAATATAACCAACCATTTATTATTACAACGAACGAATTATATTAGATTGAAGGTACTACTACGAGTTCTATTTATAATCAGGTAATAAATAACATTAAATAAACTTACTTATTTATTTATAAGCATTCACATTCTAATTTTTTCTATCATGTTAATGATATTTTCCATAGATATTTATCGACACCACCAAAAATTTTGATCCTTTGTCTCAACAAAATCACAAATCATATGTGAGTGATATTCCATCTACATACTAATAATTCTCATTTCTTTACCATTTATTTATTTGTTGTTTTATTTGTTTAATTTGTTTAGTCTGATCAATCAACAAATAATTTCGATGATGATTGGAAGGTAAATATTAAAGATTTTTTTTTTGTAAATAGAATAAATTCTTTAAAGGAAATCCTCGTTAATTTAATTCCAATTCCAATCGAAAGGCAACTCCACCTTCGAATATCATATTTAATGATTTTAATAATGGCGACTTTTACAATCAAAATTTAACATTTCCGTGTAATACTGTTTTGGTCAACAATAATTTTCCTTCCGCATCCAATAATAATACCGCTTCTATTGTCGCTACCGTTGCTAGTACTACTACTAGTAGTAATAATAATAGCCCAACACTACTACTGACATCACCGACATCGTTTTCATCTTCGTCAACAATAAACGCAAATCTTACCAATAATAATAGTAATCAACAATATTCATCTTTATTTTCATATGTTGATACATCATCTAATGCACTACAAAATTTTGGTTTTTATAACAACAATAATAATATTATAAGTAACAACAACAACAACAGCAACAACAACAACAACAACAACAACAACAACAACAACAATAGTAATATTAGTAGTAGTATTGGTAGGCGATCTAATCAAACTTCTTATGCACCTCTTTCATTATATGAAAGTGGTTACCATTGCCCTCCAACAACAGTAGCTGGTAGTACATGTCACACATCACCGACATCATCAAGATCGACAAATTTCATAAATAATTCATCACCATCACAATCATCATTATTATCTCCTCCATTATCGACAACAATTAATTTAGCGTCAATCAGTAGCAAAAATAATATCAATAATAATTCCGCCAACATCAGTTCTATTCTTCATCCTCCTTCCACATCAATAATAACCTTTAACAACAATAACAGTTATAATAATAGCATCAATAATAATATTCATCAACATCATCCAA